TGTTTTCTGTCAGTTTCTCGTAATTGCTCGAAAGATTGATAAAGCAAGAAACAGCCTTCTATTTTTCCGTGACATGTTATGTGGAGCCACCCACCACCTCCAGCCCTTATAATACATGGGTTATTGGCATCAGACAAGACTGGAAACTAGTACAATGGGACACGCAGGGAGTCATGGGAAAAGAAAAAAGAAAAATAGACTATTGTATCCAATCTTCTCTCGCCCCAAAACCACACAAATTGCTACTTGGTACGAGTCAGGACTCGCTGACACTTCACAGAGTCTGGCGAAAGCTGCCACCCCAGTGAGACAGCGGGACTAACCGAGGAAAATGGAACGACATTTTCCAATCAAACTAGGCCAACCCGAATTCCCTACGTAAGCAGGAATCCTGGGCTCCTGACATTGGTGAAATATACTGAAGAGAAGTAGAGCAATGAACTGTTTTGTCAAAATGGAACACCAAATTCCTGTCCGACCGGTCAAAGTGGCCCACCTCCAGAGGGGGAACCGAATATTCCGGTAGGACCGAACCAAAACAGACCTTTCCATTTGACTTTCGACCGAAACTACAGGAGTGAGGCTGGTAAAGGTGGGGTACCAATCACGCATCACGCTGAATTTTTCTACTAAATCACGCATTACGGAGAATTTTTTTCAACAATTACGCGTCACGTGAAAAGAAGTAAGTACAACGCCAATTTTACTTTCTCGACCCTAAAAGCGTCGTTAAAAGAAGAACTCTGCCGATTCAACCAAAAAAATGCATCGGCAAATATGTGACCTCTCACGCAAAAACTGTTTTTTACGGTGTCCGTTCGAACGGCTGAACGCACGGCAAGTGAACGGATAAATTGAATAACGAACTGATAACCACTGATAATAATGAGTAATGACTTTAGAAACGATTTAATGAAATGCAAACTGTGAAGGTAAATCTTAGAGATTCATGAGATGTGGGCTGTGTAGGTGTAGATATCTGTAGGGGATAAATGAGACTGAAAAACGATTTGATGGTAAATGTGAGGGATTCATGAGATGTGGGCTGTGTACGTATATGTTGGGAATTAATACGATGAAAGCTATGTAGGTATATGTGGGGGATAAATGAGATGTAGGCTGTGTAGGTATATGTAGGGGATTAATGTATGTATATGTGGGGGATTAATGAGAGGTATATGTAGGGGATTAATGAGATGTAGGCTGTAGGTAGGCTGTAGGTATATGTAGGGGATTAGTGAAATGCAGGCTGTGAGGGGATATTGGGTGGATATTTAGAGGATGGTTGAGGAACAATACTTGATTATATATCCAGGAGGTATTGTTTTAAGAGAGATCAAGCGAAATGTGTATATTGCGGTGAAGTTAACTAGCCGCCCAACCATCCGGGTGGTGTCGCACTTATAAAGCGAAAGAACTAAAGGCTTGGTTGTGAGCCAATGAGAAAGCACTGACGTCATAGCCAAACCGGACAAACGAGTTTCTGACAACGGCTGGATTTGATTATTCAAAATGGCGGACATACCTTAATTTAAGGCTATAATATGCTAATTTGCCAAACATTCNTAAATTCTCTGAAAACTCAAGTAATCCCAAAGAAATTTGGAAAACAATTGATTCAATTGCAGGTAGATCACAAAAGGACTCTATTATCAACGAAATTAAAGTCGATGAAATACATTGTATCAACAATCAAGACGAAACTGCTGATTTCCTAAATTACCACTTCACGAATATCGGGCCTCATCTAGCCTCAAAACTTCCAAGCACTACCAAGGCTTTTAATCTTTTCATAACCCCAGCTTTATCCGCTTTTCAATTAACCTGTATTAATCCGACTGATGTGTTGAATCTCCTCAAAATTGGTCACTAATAAATCTGTCGATCTCGATCGCATTCCAAACACATATCTCAGGGTTGTAGCGGATATTTTTGCCGAGCCCCTTTGTTTGCTTTTCAACAGTTCTATCGCTAGTGGTTATATTCCTAGTGACTTGAAAATTGCGAAGGCTTTTCCACTCCACAAGGGCAACAGTAAAACAAATCCTAACAATCTTCGTCCAATTTCCATTCTATCTTCTATTTCTAAAATTATGGAAAGGCTTGTTTACAACCAACTCTGTTTAAGCCTTTCGGATAACAAATTGCTAAACAAATATCAATCAGGATTTCGATCGTTACATTCAACCGCCACAGCTTTGCTTGACGCTCGGCTGGCAATCAATGGTAGGTACTTCAACATCGACAATGGCCTTGTCACAACCGTTGTTTTTCTCGACTTAGCTCAAGCTTTTGATACCATTAATCATAATATTAATTATTCCAATAATTTTCCCACGAAAATAAAAGAGGAATAAACCCTAGCCTGCGAGCAGGCTCACTTGTTGTTTGGGTAGCGTATCGCGGGCAAGGACGGCGGAGCCGCAACTGCGAGCCGGCGAAGCTGACGAGAAGAATGGGGCCCCATTCTTCTCGCCGGCCTTGCCGGCTCGCGGTTGCGGCCCCGCCGCCCTTGCCCGCGACGTACGGGAGACCGGGTGATTCGGTCTGTATCCATGAGGCTCCTGGATAATCTGGGAGAGTTTTCACCGTCTGTAAGTAAACAGGCTCCCGACCGTGAGCGCGAAAAAAATAAAATAGGTCGAGCGAAGCGAGCCTGGCGGGGTGGGAATTTTCAGTTCATCTCCAGACCACTCTCGGCTTTCTCTGCCCGCCTGCTTTTTCCTTTCCCTATAACACAATCGGGAGCCTGTTCACAGGCTAAGTTGGCAGTGTCAAAGCTTAACACCTGCAAATCCTTTTCTGTGCGGCAACGTTGGTCTGTAAAGGATATAACGTGGCTTTTGAATTCTTTTGAAGTCTTTATGACGACCTTCATTAAGTGTCATACAAACGTTTTCCTTGTGTTTACTCTTCAGTTATACAAGTCAGCTGTACTACCTTACCTTACTTATTGTCACCTAGTGTGGCATTTTTGCAGAGCTAGCGATGCACGTAAACTTGAACGACTACAGGAAAGGGGCTTGAGGGCCGTTTACAAGGACAAGCATGCCAGCTATACTCAGCTACTGGAGAGAGCCAAGTTGCCAACTCCAGTGAACAGGCGTTTACAAGACATCTGTATTCTCATGTATAAAGTTAAACATAGACTATGT